AAAAATTATGAAAACAATTTACAGAAACTAAGTTCTTGCGGGAAGGACTCGAGTATAAAAAATACTCAGTACTTGAAGAATGTTACGAATATTTACTCGTAGTTACTTGTATCTGAACAACACTAGGTGTTTCCATTCCATTCCCTCCTCTATCACATTTTCTTGGAAACTGTTAAAAGCGTATTTATTTTATTTTAACTAATATTTGAGGCTAAAATTTTGAGCGTATGGTTACTTAAAAAATATCACTGAAATTTCTGTGGAAGGGTTAAAAATTTATTACAAGTTTTTTTCTTTTTATTCAAGAGAAACTTATAAGAATCAGAGAACTTTATAAACTTTGGGAACAAAAAAAATTGGTATTTTTCAGTTGAAACCGAACCGGACTTTTGGGGTCGATCGTTCTTACAAGTTTACTTCTTAGCCTTTTCAGATCTATGGAAAATGTTCTGCACTTCGTTTCTAGGAAGGATAATGAAACGAAGTAACATTTCATTTACTTTCACTCGTGCTCCTTATTCTGAGCAGAAAAATTTTCAGCGGTAGAGCTAGGTAAGAATGCGAGTGCCATGAGCTTTAGGGAAGGAAATGAAAATTCATGGTTATAATCTATTCTACTTAATATACGTAAATACTTTACTTGAATCTCTTCAGACTTTAACTAATTTCCTCAACAATTACTTAGTAAAATCTTGCTAAAGATGAGTTAATGCGAACAAAAAAAAATCATTTTCTGCAACCATAAAATCTCTCCGTAACGCATTTTTTAAGCAAATTTCAGTTTAAATTTAGAAAAAAAAAATCTAAACACTTTGGGACCGCATTAAAAATGCAAATGCCAAGGTGCAACTTGAGTTCCGTTCAAGTGATGCTCACGCATGCGTGGACAAGGTCATGCCAAGGCAAATATTCACAAAAAGCATGCAAAGACAACATTTCTCATTATAAATAAGAGAGTAAATTACGACATTATTAGGCTGGCATTGTCTCCGGTCGGCATCAAAGCGGTGACCTCCGAGTGAGTTCGTAGACCAACGGCAAAGAAGTGTCGCAAAATTGCCTTGTTACGGCGCTCATTAGAGGAACTGCCAGGCTGCACAATATTGTAGAAAAGTATGTACATTAGGGTGGTCCAAAAATGTGTGTAAAAAAAAAAGTAAATTCGGAATTTTTAGGCTCTCAATAAATTGGGTATTATTGTTGCGAGTCTCCTGAAAAGAATCAAAGTTTTCAGAATGAAAAATATTGATTGTCTAGAATTCGATACCATTTCTACGAAAAATGGATTTTCCCCACAAAAAATACATGGAAAACTTTGAGCGCTTTAAGCGACCTCTAAATATCTTTTGACTTTAAAATAAAAAATAGAGGTATATAAAATTCCGACTTTACTGGTTTTGGACCACCCTAATGCGCATACATACATACATACATATGTATATGCTATTTGTGTGGGGATGTAAAGTTTATGATTGTAATACGTCGAAATAATTATAGCCGCACGACATTTTTACATATTGGGCCATATGCATAATTTCTAAGCAAAGGCTTCTTTTTTTTAATTTCAGACCCTTTACTCAATTTGTTCAAATAAATTTAAGTGAAAGGTATGAAATTTTAAGTAAAAGCAATTGCTTAGTTTTTATGCATACGTTCCATTATTTTCGTTGCTAATTAATCTTGGTTATTTTTTTTTGTATAAATATATTTCATTCTTTAACAAAACCCGTGTAAATTCAAGTTTCCAGCTTTGTGCAATATTTAGAAAAAAACCAACAATCTTTCGTAAAAATTTCCAACTTTTTTAATTACATTTCTTAGAAGGACTCTGAGTATGCAGTTATGTAGGCCATTGAATTCTGGTATAACAAAGTACAATTTTGAAATGGCTAAAAATTACTGTTGAATTTAAAAATTTTTTTTTTTTTGCCTCATTTGCTTCCATATAACGAATACACACGGTGAACGGTTAGTGAATTTTTATTTTTTACTTTGTTGCTAAAAATTAAAAATTCATCTAATCGCATTGCGAATAAATTATAACGTCATTTGCACGTTTGCAATTTGGCGCTTCGCAAAACTACCACCTACCAGTCTGGCACGCATAGTATGTATGTATGTATGCCGGTTACGAACTTTGACACACACACACACACACACGCACGCGTGAAAAGATTACGGTACGCGATTTTCAGGTTAACTTAGGTTTAATTAAATTCAACACGTAAGGTCTCCAGATGCATGCCATGGATAAAAATATTGCCGGCCATTTATTGTTATGGAGGTATTCACAGTGAAGAGAAAGAAACCAAGAAGAAATATTAAAAAAAAATATCTAAAACGACTAAAAATGCGTTGTTCGCGACCGTCTCGTCCGTTGTTTTCATATTTTATCTACCTTGAAACCAATCCGGATTAACGCTGCCGTCTGTTTGAGCTTTAAGCCTATTTGGTCGCGAAATACACCGCATAGCTTCGCGAAAATCCTGCTGTACATCAGTTCCGATCAAACGCGAGCTCACAAAGGCAAACGAGATGTGTATGAGCGGCGTGACTGCGCTGTACCACATATATACACGCATAAACGTATTTGACTGCCTAGGATTGTTCTATACCGAAAAAAATATACCCCATTTTTTAATTTTGAAGTAAAAACATATTTGGAGGTCTCAAAGCGCCAAAGTTTTCCATGTATTTTATGTGAGGGAAACCCCCCCTTTTCGTAGAAATGGTATACAATTCTTGAAAATCAACATTTTTCGATCGGCAAACTTTGCTTATCTTCAGATGGTTACCAGTACTAAAACCCAATTGTTTCTTTAACCATTTTTCCATGGTAGCTATATTTCATAGGTTCTCCAAAACCCCCAGAAACTGCAATTGGTGGACCAATAAAAAATCTTTAGTATTAAAAAATGGTTAAACAAGCAATTGGATATTAATGTTGGAATTTTCCTGAAGAGAACCACAGTTTTCAGATCGAAAAATATTGATTTTCAAGAATTTTATACCATTTCTACGAAAAGTTGTTTTTTCCCCTATAAGACCTTTACATATTTTTTAATTACCTTCGAAAAGATATTAACTAACACCCACACTCAAAAAAAAAGAATAAACAATGCATAATATATCGAAATTTTATTTTTAAATTTTACGTCACAAATCGCTTTAAATATATTTTATAAATGAGGCCATAAGAGTTTCGGGAGAGAGTAACAACACAAAAATACATTTAAGGCGCAGCGAAGCACGCCGGGTAATTGGGAGTATATAAATATAAGTGATCTGAAACCCAACGAAAGTTAAATGGCATTTAAATAAAAATCCAAAAATAAGCTTAAGTTCCATTTAAATTTGCATCTGAAATTGACCCTTAAGGGTAATCACAATCTGGTGCATATGGTATTGCATTTGAATATTATTGTGTATTTGCCAATTTATGCTTGCTGACCAGAAGGACTTATCTGCACTTGGGATGAACAACTGGCTCAAATCTAGGAATAAAACGATACTAGTAAACACAAGTACATACTACCAAGTAATTTTGGTATCGATATTTTTGAACCGAGAACTGGGTAGGTATCGGAAGAAAGTACTTGTATCGAAACTGGATTCAGTGACTATTTTATCCCCAGACTTTTTTATTTTTTAATCTATTTTATTATTGTGAATATGTAAAAATTGTTGGCAGTTTAGTTGCCAATGAAAAGAAAGCCCTAAAAAGAAAGACGACCTATCTCATTAACATATTGCCAGCTTGAAGTGAAAACTCATATTTGGACATAGGGAGCAAGGTAAATTAAATAAAAACGCAACGTCTTCAAAAGTATTAACTAACGTGCTTGTTTTATTTCCTTCCGTTTATATTCAATTAAGGGCAAATTCACTAAATCCAAAAGTAACACAGAAAAATTGGTAAGCTCACCAAAAATTCTAGATCTTTTAATTTGCCACGGAACCTTCTGCAAAAGTCTTGAAGGAAATGTTTTGAAAAGTTTTTTTCTTCCCCTGTAAATTTTCTACAAATGAACTTGGCAACTTTTCTACTCTAAAAATTATCAGCGTGATTACTACTTTCAGAAATATGTATACCATTGTTACCCCGCAAAACTGCTGTTGAACAGTGTTATAATACAGATGACTTTTATTAAGTAATTCATTTTTATGAAATAATTTTAAAATAATTATTTTTGATCTCAATCGCTTTCTCTTTGTACCAAATAATTATAAAGTATAACGAATAAAATACGTACATACAAAAGAAGCAAATTCTGTTAACAATATTCTGGGGACTTTTTAAAAAACAACTTATTGGACTTAACAATTTTTTCTTGTTTTTTGGGATGCCATTTTGACAAAAATTCATATATATGTGATAGCGGTTTTTATACAAACAATTTTTACATAGCTACCAATATCGATACAAGTAGGTATCGATACTTTCTGCCCGATACTTATTAGGTATCGATACCTTCGTTCGAAGCTACTTCAAAGTGCAGGTATCGATACTTCTATGGTATCGTTTTATCCCTACTCAAACCCGCAAAGGAGCACTTATACTTTTGCTAAGTGTTTGTCCAAGTTGTACGCCGCCTCCGAAGTGCATTTTATGAGAGTTTTTTTTCATGGCAGAAATGCACTCGGGAGTTTGGCATTGCCTGCCGAGGGGCAACCATTTAGTGCGCACCTCTAACCACTCAGCCACGACGGAGTGGGTGTTGAGATTTTTCGCATTTTTGTCGTTATTTGAAGAAGTAGACCTGTCCAAGAAAATCCGTTACGATTTCGGAATCAGGGCCAGATTTTTTTTTATAAATTTCGTTTTTGCGAAATTCGTTTAGTTTGATCAAAATTTGTAGAAGTCACCGTGGGTGATTACCACAACCTGGTAGACCCATTTTCAGTGCTCAGAAAGGATCAATTTTAAACATGACTTTAAGTATAGTATAAAAAATGCATTTACATATGTATGTACGTATATATTTTCTTTTAATTTTCAGTTGTTACCTATCCCTGAAATCAATTGTAACTAGGAGTCGCTCAAGTTCCACTCTCTTGCCAACAATATAATGCATCGTTATCCTTGTGAGGGTTCAACAACGCACCGATAGCATGACCCGGGACGGAGAGATACCCGCCATCTTTAACCCGAAACGGGTACGCGCACCATCCGTCGTCGTGACCGGTGACTCTCCGAATGGTCCGTATGGGGGCTTTAGTAATGCGCTCAACGCAAGCAATCCACAAATCGCCCACCAAGACTCAATTTCTTCGAGTCAACAAGATCCTAGTGAGGTTATAACAATACATCCAGACACACGGGATGCTACGACACCAGTCGGTACGCATCAAGGTTTGCGGCGTGCACTCGGCGCTGGTGGTGGGAGTTTTGTTGGTAGTTGTGGCATAAGTGGCGTAGGTGGTCTTACTGGTGGTATAAATGAACCGGATACACCGACAATGGAGGCAGGACCAGATGTCACTGAAGTACGTTTCCGTCGACTGAAAGCTTGTAGGGAGACGTGTTGTTCGGAACTTGCGAGAAAGGTGAGAGAATGTTTTTTTTTTTTTTTTGAATGGGTAACTATGTCTATGTACTATCGATCATTTCTCGTACAGATGTATTTTGGTGTTTGCGTCACCATACTCGTCACCGCTTCATGGGTTGGCGCAACGCATTGCATCAAATTTCTTTACCTAAATCGCAGCACCTACGCCAGTATTACTACAGAGGACTTCGACAGCACATCAAATCGCGCCATTGAATTGGATTTGGTCACAAATATTGACGATGATGATCCCAAACATCTGCTAGGTATCAGTGATAATTCATTAAGCGCCTCTGAGGTGGAGGAGGCTAAAAAATTTCTGCAAGTCGCACCACCAACACTACCAGAGACAACCGTATTTCGCGCGCCTTTCTTCGCAGCGTGGTTCTTCACGAATTTTTCATTTCTATTTTTCCCCATTTATGTGCTGGGGCGCGTATCATTGCGCAAGTGCGACAAGCCAGGCGAAATTTTGGGTGATGTTTTGCGAGGTTTCCGCGATCGTGGCTTCACAATCGGTAAGTAGACTACTTCAATTACACTTGTCCTTGTATGCATATTATGGTGGTCCAAAAAAAGTCATGTCAGAATTTTAATGCTTTTTGTTCTGTACCGAAAAAATATACCCCTAGGTTTTTTTTTGAAATCAAAAAATATTTAGAAGATCCTAAAAGCGCTCAAAGTTCTCCATGTATTTTATATAAAAAAAACAGCGACATCCCAATATTTTTTGATTTCAAAATAAAAAATAGGGGTAATCAATTTTTCGGTATAGAAGAGTCCTGGACGTAAGAGCATTAAAATTCTGACTTTACTTTTTCACTTGCTATTTTGGACCACCCTAATGTACATACGCATCAATAAATTTATGCTTTTAAAATTCAGTCAAATCTCTAATCCACTCCTTATTTTTGTAATGAATTCACGCCTTCTCATTCGCCATCAGGTCGTTTTCTAAATCGCTGCCTCTCCTTCTGCATCCTCTGGCTGGTGACCACCTACCTATATACCATGTCTCTGCGCGTACTTTTCGCCACCGATGCCATGGCGCTATTCGCAACCAATGTCGCTTGTGTCTATCTGCTTTCATGGGTCATTCTTCATGAACAATTTGTCGGTGTACGGGTATGTGTATTCGTAACAAAACGGGACATCGCATTAAATTGTTACAAAAATAAATTCAATTAAGTGCTTTTTAATCCTATCTAGATTGTTGCGGTCATTTTATGCGACACCGGCATTGCGCTGCTTGCATACATGGATGGCATTACGGAAAGTCGCACGCTGAGCGGTGTTGTGCTGGCAACGCTGGGCGCTGCCGGTTACGCAGTCTTCAGGGTGAGTGTTACTGTAACTATTTCCGTTTGAGCGTGTAAGTTTAGTTAATGCAGCGAAAAAGTTTAACTTGCGCATTTTTGCTTTTGTTTTGTTTTTTGTTTTTTTTTTTTTGTTTTTTTTAGGTTATGTTCCGCAAAGTGATGGGCGATCCACCGATTGGCCAGATTGCATTTGCCTTTACTACGCTTGGATTTCTCAATGCGTTACTGTTGTGGCCCGTTTGCGTGGGACTCTACTTGGCTGGCTATGAGAGTATGCCGTCAGATCGTATGCCATGGATTATTTTACTAATTGCCAGTATATTGTTATTGGGTAATTAAATTAAAATGTTGAAAACATGACATTTAATCATTGAAATTATGTATTTGTTTCCCAGTTTTTCACATATTAATGCAATTCAGCGCAGCGGTCACTTATAATATGTTTGTAACGCTCGGTTTGATAACAGCAGTACCAGTTTCTGGAGGTAAGTTGTGTTGGGGGTATCTATTAGGAACATAATTGTATTGGTTTTTTTTGCTACAATAAACATATGTAATTCTAAAGAGTAGTTGTAGCGGTTAAGAAATAAAAGGGACTGCTGCCTTGCGTCTTGACGTTTTAGAATGCACCCCTCTCCCTCGCTCTGAGTAGTTATATTTTTTAAGAGCACTCCAATTTCCAAAACTCAGAACGCTGCGCAGTGTGGTGACTAGAAGAAGCTAGTTGGATAAAATTATTTTATTAGTGTTTTAGATAGATAAGGTCGAAATTAAAAAAAAATTTCTAAGACCTGGGTCGGAAATACCCCGTTGACCCAAAAAGTGTATGATGAAAAGGAGTAGTTTTATTTTTGTGGTATACGTTTTAAAATATTATAGCTATAGGCCAAATTAATATTTTTAGAAAGAGAATTTAAAGAATATTTTTATACTTTATTCTAAAATATCTTGCGTATTAAAGAAACAAACTTTTTTCTGGGTTTAAAATTTAAAAAAGACAAAAAATTTTCAATTGCTTTCAAAAATAAAAAAAAGTTTTGCTTGAAAAGTAACGGTTTTAGTTCTAGTTCTATTTTACTTTTATGCTCTCGCTACACCCCTAGTGATATATTTACTGTATTATACATATGTATGTATAGATTTTCCAGATTTGACACCACACAAGCTCTACCCAGATTTGCAGCGGACGACGGTAAAGCGGCCGACGGTTAAAAGCGTAAACAGACGGCAGCGTTGATCCAGATCAACTCGGGAATTATCTGCAGTTGATCCAGATCAAGTCCGAGTTAATCCGGATCAACGCTGCCGTCTGTTTAAGCTTTAACCGCTGTCAAAATAAGAACTCGCAAAGCCCTATGGATTAGCTCATAATTGCGGCGGCAGCGTTTTTACCGCCGACGTTTTTTGGTTGATTTAAAATTATTTCTATATTTACCGCTCAGCGAGGACGGCACAATGTTGATTGTAGTACTTTTTATTATTTTCACAAGTTTGGCAATGTTTTCATACATTTTTATTTCCAAAGAATCTACATACATACCCGCACGTACTGAAAACATATTTATTTATTTTTAAATCAAAATGTCAACTGACGGAAGCCGCCGTGCGCCGTAATTGTGTTTAGATACTCTGACGGATTTCACTGCGGCAACTATGCGGCTGTTCACTTACCGCCGACCGCTTTGCCGTCGTCCGCTGTAATTGTGGGTTGAGCTACAGATAAGGTCATCGATAAGACCGCATATGCAATTATAAAAACGCTTATTCTTTTGGTAAATAGCGTAAACAGTAGGAGTCCCCTTCCGGTGCGCTTGGATCCAACTCTTTGGGATTGTAGCCATCGGACCAAATCTTGCTCAACAACAAGTTCATGCGCCATACCATTTCTCCGCCCGCCGGCTTTGAACAGCTTGGCTGCTATGCCACCGGCTCATGGGGTCTTGTTGCTGAAATTATGTACTTATGTTGTTTTGCTAACCTAAGCGATTGTGGCATAAGTGTGGTCACAGTTCTCGCTATGGTAAACAATTATCGATCTTATTTCCCCGTTACTCTCTGCAAAGGTCCTTACTGTACAATGCGATGCGCTAGCATTCTGGACATTTCTAAATACATTTCCTTTAAATAAATGTAATTGTAATGTAATGTAATGTTAATGTAAATGTAACTCATTTCGAATTCGTCTTTCAGCTTTGGATGTTGTTCTCTATGGCGCTACTTTCGCGGGAATGAAATTAGCTGGCGTCATTCTAATTGCTGTTGGCTTTTTCCTAGTTATGTTCCCCGAAAACTGGCCGGACTACATCACACGCTTGCTAAGGTAAGGCCAAATTTTAAAGTTTGTGTATGTGAATTTATTAAAAAAAAATCAGTTCACTTGCGCTTGTGTTACATTGCTAATTTTTTGTCAAAGTTCGAAAAATAATATTTCTTTTTAATATTAATTCATTAAATTTTTCGATTGTGTTTTTTCATATTAAAGCTAAAAGCCAGTTAAAAAAAAATAATAATAATTCACTTAAAATTTATTGCTAAACCCGTTAAATATGTATATTTTCAATTAGTTTAGTAGCAAAATGCTAAATTGTAAATTTAAAAAAATTTTGATTAACCCTTTATTAAAACTTACTAAATATTCCAAATATTTATTTATGTTAAATTTAAAAAATTAATACAAATTATTCACGTTTTTTTTTACAAACAAAAAATACGGAAATGGAAATTAACGCTTTTAATTTTCTCATATTTTTATGCCCAAAATATTTCAGAAAGAGTGGTCGTGCTATACTGCGTTACCAATGTTGTTGTGAATTAGCTGAAATTCATTATCCCCATGCGGTAGGCTAAAATAAATTTTAAGAATTCTTCCACCCTCGAATTAACTTTTTATGACCATTGAACAAATGTGACTTTTTCTAGTGAAATATATATATATCTGTATTTTTTTTTGCTTCGAAATTAGTCTTGCGCGCTTTAAATTTTTATATTAACAAAATTAACTCAAAAGTAGCGGATGAGTCAACTAACAAATAACGATATAAATAAATAAATTACTAATTTTTGAAGATTGTGAACACTTTATAAATCCCCATGCAAGGGTGTTGCACTACAAAAAGAAGCTACATACATATAAATAGGTACATGCGTACTTTCATTAGCGTTCATACTCACTAACGCCGCTTTGTTCAAATATTTTTCGATAAAGTAGCTACTAAATAGTTGACATTTTGTGCCGCCAAAATGTTACTAGAACATTTTTTTGTTTTTTTTTTGTTTTGGCAATTTGCGCAACATAGACTTTTTACTGAGTTCCTGAGAGGAACTGCATTTTGCGTTTCTTTTTACCAACTTTGGTTGCCTACCACCACTACTACTCTCTTCTGTTACTACTCATATATACTAATACTACAACTCTCTCCCCCACTTTTACTACTATCAAATGCTACTCCTTCTACCAGTTATACTCCAACATACCAACAATAATTCTCTGCATATTTACTAATAAATATTTACAATACGAGTGTTCCCTATGCAAAAAACTTGTACAACAATTGTTATCGAATCGTGTTCATTTGAAAAAAAAGAAAAAGAAGTTGAATCGTTTGTTGAAGAAAGTCAAAATAAGAAGAAATATACGTATAGGTCCTGTTTTGTTTTCCACCTAAGATAATTAAAAAAAATATGTATTCTCGGAATTTTGTTACTGGCTAATTTTTACTGGTTTTTGCATAGCGAACAGAACTAATTACTATATGCGTTCATAATTTTGAAGGTGGTCGGTGAAGTCATTGCATACCTCTTGTACTTGTGACACAACTTTTTACCTTTCGTTGACGATATTGAACGAATAACAGTCGCGTGCGGAAACAGCTGTGTAAATGATCAATGTAGCACAAAACGTCTTCGACTACTTTCAAAATTATGGGCACAACTATCTACTGATGTCGACATATGTATATTTGTAACTCCAATACATCAAACCAGTGTTCCAGTGACCTCAACAGTGCGCAAAGCGCCTGCATGTACATAAATAAAATACACAAACGGGCACAACAACTAACTCATATAGTTACAATATGTACTGCCTCTTTTGGCGTCCTACCGTGCCGCTCAAATTTTCTTTTTTATTCGCCTTTCAGGCTTGTTGTGCATTCTCGTAAATAATAGTCAGTGTTTATGGATTGACAAACACCTGTTCGATACTAACACGAAACATGTATACATACTCCCAACATCATGCATAAATATTTCCACATTTAATCGATGTTGTGGCTAAGAAGTTTGTTTGTTTTCCTAGGCGCTACTAACACCCGAAAAGGAACATGTGTACATAAGTATATAAGCTTTTTGATGAGTGGATTAAATAATTTTGAAATATATACACACATACTGGCAGTGAAACACGTACCACAACTAGTACTATCTATATACATAAAAATTCATGTTAGCATACATACATACATCTGAATTCATACCCGCATATTAATATTGGATATTATTACTGGTTAAGTTATCGAATAATTGGCTAAATTTATTGATTTATAATTTTTTTGCATACACTTCTAATTTCTGTAAAAGCTTTCTTTACAAAAAACAGAAGTGATAATATGCAAGTGATGTTAAGACAGTTTTGTACAGAAAACCAGACGTGGAGACGTTGAGTGAAGTGGGCAACTATGTCCTAAATAAAAATTAATTTTTATAAATCAAGGGTACCTACGTAGTGAAATGTCAAGTGTAGCTAAGTTCTTCTCCACCTGGTCTTACCAATGCAGAGGAGGCCTTCCTCTTTCTCTGTTGCCAGCATCGCGGCCCGCGCGTTGAATACTTTCAGAGCAGGGGCGTTTCTGTCCGTTCGACCGACATGGCCAAGCCAGCAGAGCCGCTGAATTTTAATTCGCTGCACTATGTCCATGTCGTTGTAAAGTTCATACAGCTCATCGTTAAATCGTCTGCGTTGTTCGCCATCGCCAACGCGTAGGGGCCCGTAAATCTTTCGCAGAATATTTCTCTCGAAAACTCCAAGAGGCGCAACAGCACAGGCATCATGAGTGACTTATAGAGTGTGATCTTTGTACGACGAGAGAAGACCTTACTTCTCAACTGCCTACTCAGTCCAAAGTAGCGCATGTTGGCAAGAGTAATTCTCCCAAATAAACGAAGTCGTCTACTTTCTCAAACTTGTAACTGTCAACAGTGACGTGGTTGCCAAGACGCGTACGTTCTGACTATTTGTGTGATGACAGGAGATACTTCGTTTTGTCCTCGTTCACCACCAGACCCATTCGCCTTGCTTCTCTATCCAATCCCGAGAAGGCAGGACAGACGTAGCCCTTGTTTTTACCGATAATATCGATGTCGTCGGCATACGCCAGCAATTGTACGCTCTTGTAAAGTATTGTGCCTGAGCGGTTCAGTTCTGCTGGTCTTATTATTTCTCCAACATCAGATTAAAGAAATCACACCTTGTCCGAAACCCCGTTTGGTGTCAAACAGCTCGGAGAGATCCTTCCCAATTTTGAAAGCGCGTCATTTTACACAGTCGTATTAGTTTCGCGGGGATAACAAATTCAGACATCGCGGCTGGCGAAAGCGGCTTTGAAATCGACAAATAGATGGTGTGTGTCGATCCTATTCTCGCGAGTCTTTTCCAAGATTTGGCGTATTGTGAATACCTGATCTATGGTGAATTTTCCAGGCCTAAAGCCAAGGACCAATTATTTCGTTGACGGTGGGCTTCAGTCTTTCGCACAATACATTCGATAAGATCTTATAACCTATGCTTAGAAGGCTGATCTCGCGGTAGTTGGCGCGTATGGCGCCGTCGCCTTTGTTGTGCATTGGACAGAGCACATTTAAAGACATGCCTTCCGTCTATCACAACATCGATTTGGATTCTTGTTTTTCGATCTGGAGACAGCCATGTATGTAGCTTCGGGCCCCGAAAACTATAGTATGCAAAAAAATATTGAATTACCAAATTTCCCATTTTCCATGTCTTTTATATAGGAAAAACCAGTTTTCGTAGAAATTGTATCAAATTCTTGAAAATCATTATTTTTCGATCGGAAAACTTTGTTTCTCTTCAACTTTTGCTCTAATTTTTACATAAGCTTAATTTAGGTTAAGCTTTTTAAAAAATGAATTGGCGGAATTCCTGGACAATTTTGTGTTTTTTCTTTTGTATATTGCTAATGTAAATTTACTGTAACTAATTGACTTTCAGTTATTTCTACATTTGGCATTCCTTTATTAGTCACCACATTCACTTTTCCCGAACTCACCAAATCACATCGAATTATTAAAACTAGAGTTAACGCGTTCTTGTGCAAATGCTGATTCCAAAAGCAATTGCTTACATTATTATTTTAGTTAATTTTAAGCTTAAGAGGCTGTTGTATCATGTTATTATGCATAAACGCAAGCTTTTATAAATATTACAATACATATTTGGTAAGAAAGCAATGCCTACAAATTTGGTTGTTAACTGCACCAATTGCTTTGCGGCATTTTTTCAGAAGCACCACCCAAAGTGTTGAAGAAACGCATGCAGCTGAATTCGATTTTGAAATTTCTTCTATAAACTATCCTATTTAGTACATGCATATGTAAATATTCTTACCATTAAAATTTAGTTATGCAATTACATAGTTATATTAGATTACATACCTGAAAAAAAATTGTTTCTTGAATTATTCACTTTTAAAACTTGCCGTTCATAAGCTACATATAATAAAAATCAATTTGCGTAGACATTTCTGAGCATAAAAATTAGGGCTGTGCGATTATTCGATTAGTCGAGCAAGTTGGTTAATCAATTATTCGGTTAATCAATTACTCGAGTAGTCAAGATTTTGATTACTCAAAACGATGATTAATCGAGTTACTAGAAATATGATTACTCAAAAAATAATTTTAATCAAAAATCTTGATTACTCGAGTAACTGAACTTTTGAGTAATCATAACTTCTAATTAATCGAATAACAGAGTTATTTACTTTATGATTAATTAAAATTTTGAGTAATCAATTAATCGCACAGCCCTAATAAAAATACTTGGGGAAAATGTGTAAAAACATATCGAGCCCTAACCGCCAAAATAACGTAAGCGACATTTTTTTCAAAATTTTCTTTTTGATGCAGAAATATTCCTAGAGCATCTAAATGCATTTCTGCATCAAAAAGAAAATTTTGAAAAAAATGTCGCTTACGTTATTTTGGCGGTTAGGGCTCGATATGTGTGTTTTAAATGGTAAAGACATATGTACATACATTTTATATATGTGAATATGTGGTCAATAAGACCAAAACTCTTAGAGACCATGGCTGACAATTTTAAAGAATTTTTATATATTTTCATGCTCTGCATAGGCGAGTGGAAAATGATTACACATTTTTTTTGTTTGTACATATGTAGTTATGTATGTATGTTAGACTGCATGACTCCCCATACAAAAAAATCAGTGCAGTATTTCCATTGGAATTATAAAATCTATTGTAGTTTAAGACGCCCGCCAAAATATTACGGAAATATATTAAGATTTACGTGAGCTGGATGAGCTGGACCTCCAAAAATGGATTTTTTTATTAATAAAAATAGTTTCTTAAAGATATTTTTTTTAAATCCCCCCAAATGAGAAAACGGTTTAAACTTAAAAAATTTGCATAAAAATATTTTTAAAAAATTTAAAAAAAAAATCTTAATAATCAGATTTGTGATGCTGTCTTTTTTTAACTATTTTCAGAGATTGGGATAAGAAAAACTTGAATAACTGAACCTAAACTCTTCCGATTTAGGCTTGTGAGGTGTCATTGGAAAGGTATTTTGCCACCCTTTTTATTTCTTTGCTAATAAACTCATTCAAATGATGAAAGAGAAAGGTTGGATGAACGAACGTCATTCAAAGTTGAATTAAGATGTGTTGATATTTGAAAAAAATAAAAATAAAAAAAGGCACGAATGACTTTTTCGGACAGGAAAGAAAACAGTGGGAAAATACCTTTCTACTGAGATCCCATAAGTCTAGATCAGACAGCTCCGCATACAACCCAATACTAAATCAGAATAGTTTTGGCCCAGTTATAAAAAAGTAAAAAAGTAGCATCAAAAAATCTCATTATTACGATTGAATTGATTTTTAATATTTTTATGCAAATTTTTTAAGCTTAATCTGATTTGTCATCTGAGAGAACTTTTTTCAAAAAGTTCTTTAAGAAACTAGTTTTATTCATAAGAAACTACATTTTTGGTGGTATTTTCAAATCGGTCCAGGTCACTTGAATCTCAATATTTTTCCGAAATATTTTGGCGGACATCTTAAAATATAATAAATTTTGTAATCCCGGCGGAAAAACTGCAACTATTTTTTTTTTTTGGTGATACAGTCTAATGTATGTACTTAGTATAATATTTACATATAAGTAAAATATCTAGTAATTACATAAGATTAATTCTAATGAGTAAACTAGACATACATTTTTAGGCAAATGCAATATCTAAAGGCTCACTGAGCCTTCATAGCAACAACTTATGGATGAGTAAAGCCATGTTAAGTGATACTCGAAAATCCGCCCTCTAAAAGATATTTTGTTTCCCTACGGTGACCATATATATGGCCGACGAATAGGGGCCAAAAAAAATAGTTTTGCCAATTTTTTTCCATTTGGCAACGTCTTTCAGATAATCACAAGCGACAACAAAATATGTGGCAGCACATTCAATAATGCCGGAAGAAATCGACCGTCGTGCAAGCAACATTGATTTTTATTAATTTGAATCGGCATCCTTATAATAAAATTAAGTATGCATGTAAAATCCATAAAATACACCATTACAAATTTGATGCTTTTTCAAATTCAAAACTTGGCAATACCACGTTTTGTTCAATGCTTCCTCTTTTTCTTGTCGAGTTCGTCTTGCTCTCTCATTCTGGTATTTGTTGACGTCACGCCCGGTTGCTCTCAGCTCGATTGGCGTAATCTTGTATTCTATCATTCTTGACTTAGCCTTTTGTCCCCGTTCAGTTCTTTTCCAAAACGTTCCGGATACTAATATAGAAAAATGCCTCTGCCACTGTTTTGGGACTATGCACATATAGCATAGGAGGATTCTACGTGTAATTCTAAGCAAATTTTCCGAAGAAACCGTGGGTCTAAAATCAATTTGGAGTTTGCCAAATTGCGAAAATGTGAAAATTTTCACTGTTGCGCGTTCTGGTGAAATTTTTAAGAAAAAAGATAAGTGCAGAAATGGATTTCTCATAAAAACGACCTTTATAGCATGTATGCATGCATTTAAGCAAAATTTTAGCACTTCTTTGCCACACTACAGCAAAATGCTATTAAAACTATTTTCGCAATTTGACCCCTGTTTTTTTCGACAAATTTACTTAGAATTAGACGTAAAACTCTTCTGTGCTACACGCGTATAGTCGAAAAAATCTTGCATACAAATTGACCCGCCCTAATGTATATAGTTCTGGCTAAGATTTCTTGTCACCTTAATAGGTACTAAGCAAAATATTTCTCTATAAGGAATTATATTTACAAAAGTATTATTGAAATTTACCTGCTGTTTAGACCATTATTAAACTTGAATGTTATCATCAGTACACCTAAGTGCTTCCTTCTGGTTTAGGTTCTGCAGAAATGCGTTACATTTCAAATACCGCTTTCAATTGCCCATTGCACATGGGCTTTTATTCTTTGCATCTTAAAGAAAATAACCTTTTTTTCAAATTTATTAACTAATTAATTATTAAAAATATTATTAAATTAATTTTATATTAAAAAATGTGCATGTAACATATAATTTTCTTTGAGTTAATGGCAATAATTAATTTATATGTAAAAAAAACACATTTTCGCCTAATAAAATAAACCAAATTAAATTTAAATAATTAAGATCCTACTCTAAAGCTATTTTACAAATTTTTAGTTTAATTAAAATTTTGTTTGTGTTTTAAACTATCTATATTCGTGTACTCCTCTCATTATCTCGTATAAAAACAGTATCGATATTTCCATTGTATTTGCAGAAATATCATCTTGTTGGGTCACAATGCGAGGTGAGTTTGGTTTGTAATGCTTTCATTTTCACTTTTCTATTTACGGAAAAATTACTTAATTTTAACATATATGTATACATAAAAACGAACAAACAAAAATACATTTAAACCAGGAAATTTTTTCGCAACATACATATGAATATGTTAGTACAGTTAAATTAAAAAAAAAGTATATCATGCGTGGTAGTAAGTTTTTTTTTTTTTAATATTACTGTAAGGCTAGTCGTTAGAAATATAAAACATAATTTGCGAGACGCAAAGGCTGGTCAAGGGTGGTCAACATGTTTTCTACCTCAGTGGAAGGGTCTCAACCAAACTATGTCTACCAGTAGCACTTTACTCCACTTTATAATAGTTTTTTAAGCTATCCCCTTTTTTCAAAAATCTAATTTCGTATATAAATTGGCTTTCAAACATAATTCTTGTCTGCGAAGACCTTCTCCTTCTTCTTGATTGGCGCAATAACCGCCTAGGCGATTTCGGCCGAAGACCTGCCTAGTAGGGCATTCAATCCCGAAGCATTTTAACGATCCCGGCATTTCAATCGGCCAAAAGTACTTCTCTCGAGATCGCGGGATTTTTCGGGATTTCGACTTTATTACAAATGTTTGCATTTTACAGTAGGCTCGCCGTTCTCAGTAATCAAACAATGAGACCGCACAGATTCATTGTCGCCACACCAGGGCTCGAATCTCAGTATTCGATGTCGAACGTAACTCGTATCGAAACTTAATTTTGAACTCACAGCATTCGACAGCGGCTCCAAATCGTCAATACTGGGAATAATCAAACTATTCATGTGACTCCCTGATTTTTGAATAGAGTTACATAATTTTTTTTTTTAAGTGGGGCTGATGACGTCTCACTCGGCCAGGTAATTTTTTGAAAAAAATATTATTATTAAAATATTAATATTAATTAGCGCCGCACAGTGGGGCAAATATGTATGTGGTGTGAAAACTTCAGTTTGTATGTAAGGTGCCAGGCCCCTTTGATATATCGAAATTATTTTTCTTCTATTATCATCCTTGGAGAGTCTAGATTCAATGTACAACATTTCAAAAATATCGGCACAGCTGTTCTCGAGTTTTTCGAACAGAAAAAAAACGGGTTTCAAAATATATATTAGTAAAGATAATAAATTATGTAAATACATTTCTTTATTAAATGTGTCCTATGGAAAAATGTCTACGAATAATTCTTTAAATAATTGCAGACATTTGAAATTAATGTCAAGTACCTTCCAAAAAAGTGGAAGCATTTAAACGTAAAAATTTGTTTTCTTTCATTTTTCATAATAACATTTTCACATAAATACATAAAAAAAACTAAAGCTTTTTAAAAAAGTCGCCACGGATAGATTAACCTGAAATTTATTTGTCTTTTATTAAAAAAAAGAAACTGGAATCGGTAACATCTTCTTGTTATTGGACTTTAGCTACTACTAACACGTGAATACTAAAATAAATAACTATTTCGTTGAGTTAGAAAAAACATTGGCCATTCTAAAATTTTCCCAACATCCTGAGACCAACATACCAATAAAGTTCTACATTCCCTCTGGACCATATAGCCTAACAGTATTCAAAAATAATAGACCTTCCTGCAAGAAATCGGCGAATTGATTGCCTATTTTTAACTTTAATTTTACTGTACTGCATACATACATATGTATGTATGTATAAATATTTAATTTTTGTTAAGTTATGAATTTTCCAAAACTTCTAGGAGGGACGATACATTTGTGTATATCATTAGCTCTCAAAAATTGTTTTCAAAATTTGTATCTTTGAGTTAGTATACTCGTATTCGGTTCATTTACTGGTTATGGTATTCTTTCACACAATTGGTTGCATTCTTTCTCATTTAATTTGCAACTCTTGTTAATTTTTTAATTTATTTTTTTTTGTATGTATTCTAAATCGATTCTATTTAAATTTGATTTTTCCTCTTAAAAGAAAATGTGAGAGTGTCATTGTTGTTATTGTACTTTTTGCGTAAAATTTGATATTTAACTGCCTATGAAAAAAATACTCAAGTACCTACCTATATATTATACGAACACATACACCATAAATATTGTAATACCGTAAACATTGCAAAACGTTTTTGATATGTTTTTTGCCTTACCTAATTGATATTGTAATGATACTGAACGAGTTCATTGTTTTTTGATTGTGTGTTTTTTCTCTATTTTTTGCATTTGACTAAATCAATCGTATTCTACAATAAAAAAAAATAAAAATAAAAATTTACTACATATTGCGGATCAGCAGATATACAAACTATTATCCTGGTACAAATCTTTATATGTTTTCCTGAGCCTATCACCTCTCTAATATAAATATTTAAAAGTTGTTTATTAAACAAACCATTTGTATTAAAATTATTTAAGCCTAATTATTTGTAAGTTTTGCTTAGTTTACTGACAACAGCCACTGTCAGATAACACTTTTGCTTTATATTTTAGATTTCACATATTCCTAAATGAACGATAAACAAAATCAAAACAGATTTTCTAGAAATTTGCACAAAAAATTTATGATCGCAAAATAGTTAAGAATTAATGTGAACCTCTATTGCGGAGCTACATTTTGAATTTAAAAAAAAAAAGTGTTATTATTTAAAAGCATCTTGGTCTGTCTTCTATGTAAGTGTCCTAATTATAATTTTATGGATGGATTACACTTAAACTGCGGATGTGTAGATGATGGGTTAAGGAAAAACGTTGGTCAGAGAGAGGTGGTTTTCTATTTTTCTAAGTTTCTAAGCAGAGCGAAAAGGAGTTGCGGTGTAATCAAAACAAATTCAGCTCTTTGGGGGTTTGTCATCACCACCAAATATTTCTACCAAACGTTCGATGAGGTTTTTGATTCCATCTGCTTTCAGAGAATATACATACAATGGCTGGAAGCAACAAACTCAAGTAACTCCAAATTCCTTTGGAAACACGAATCTTCAGATTTTCAATGATCGTATCTAACGGGAGGAATGTAAAGCGAGACCCTCTCATAATCTTCGCAAATGTCTATAAATTTATGTCATCTTCGATTGAATCTGGGTACGCTTGCGATTGTGAGTAAGAAGAAAATTCCCATAGATTTTCAGCTTGACAGCAGTTAGGGCAGTGTCAACTAGTAGAACAACGAAAAAATCAGTTTTAAATTCATGTTGGACAGCAGGATATCTCAAATAAGAATAAAAGAAAATCTCCATTAGAGATACCTAAATTTAGTTTACCATATCCAGTCTGTTTTTTCCAAAGAGTTGTGTTTGACACGATTTTTGAAAATGGCCCACCTCTGGGTAGATGCTCAGAATAGAAATTAGATGCGCTGAAGTATACCCAAAAGAATAATGCATGTTCTGGATGTAGAGGCAACATTGCCCCTCTCGCCCGCCCTAATGCCGTACACACACACACACATTATTTCTTGCTTTCACATTTTGTTCACCGCTACAGTGTGACCAGATGATCACAAAAACCGCAGCTAAATTTATTTTGAAAAAAGTCAAAAAAGTTATTAGAAGTGAAAAAGGACATTTAAATATAGAATAACTTCTCACGAACTCGGCAATTTAAGCGATATTTTTTTTCTTAAATAAATTTTTAAATTCTTATCAAATCGCAAAATAACTTCTATCAAACTAATAACGGCTTAAAAAAATCTTGGAACTAATTTTGTCCAAGCAATGCCTTTAATACTGGTATTTAATAAGTCAGTCTCATCTCAAGTCACCTAAGTTGAGACTATAATGCCGGTATTCAGTGACCAGTCTCTAGTAACGAATATAGACTTTTCGCGGTGAAAATCGATTTTTGTATTAAGTAAGCTGTCTCACGACGTCTCTAATCTAAAAAAAAGTCATTAATTTTTCGGCTGGCTCTAAGCTGGTCACTAAAAGAAAGTTTAGAGAACAGATAATTGTTTTCAAGTTTACTCTGAAAAACGCGAAAATGAAGCAAGGAAATATTTGCATAATTAGGAAATAAGTCCATACCTACCTTTTACGTGTAAAATCAGAAATTAACATGAAATAATTTCTACCGACCGTACTGGATGGAGCCTTTCGGATATGCATAAATACATATGTATGTACAGTGGTGGCCACATAATTATAGGCAATATTTCTTTTTAACTTTGGGCATTTATTTTTTCTATATGTATTTAAAATTTACAACCGAAACCATACAACTCAAAATTTCAAACCTTGCACAAAATATATGTTAAAAGTTCGTCAAATTAAAAAAAAATTAATAAAAGTGGCCATAACAATTTTATCCGAATTTTTAGAAAAAATTTGGGTATACAATTCTATATCCCATTTCATTTTAGTAGAAATAATATTCCAAGTTTTTGAAAATTGTTTTGCCGACGGTGTTACGCATTTTCTGCCATACAAAGTACGAGTATGTCGGAAAATTTTTCTACAACGTGTAATAAATCGAATGGGCTGTAGAACTGCATACCAGAATTTTTCTCTAGAAATGCGGATTAAAAAGTTTGAAATTTTGATCATCACTTTTTAAAATTCGGTGATTTTTTATAAGATTTGAATATTTGAATTACTTGGGTTCTTCGTGGTCAAAGTTATATTTTTGTTAAAAAAAAAACTAAAATAAATTGAAAATAAATAAAGAAAAACTGTTAAAACTTATAAAAAAAGTAGTGTCCCTACTTATGTGGCCACCACTGTACACAGAAAAGATCAAATAACGTTATACATAAGTATATATGTATGTATGTATGAAGAGTCTAATATGCAATATTTTATGATTTTTTATTGCCTTTTAAAATACTCCTCATATGTATGAAAAAGTGTAGAACATAAAGAATTTGTAGTTATTTGATTAGCGATATAGCGTTTCGGGAAACTTAATTTTTTACATCAATATCCCTTAAGATTTGGATATTAATATGGTCAAATGAGCTACCAAAAACTTATCACAGTAACCATTATAACTGTAACTTCTTTATATTCTCCGTTCTTTCTAATTAATTATGTACATTCATATAGTCACATGCATGATAAGCAAACAAATACATCGAGCTGATTTATTATGAGCTTAAAAAGCTCGCTGACGAATCACTCCTGCAGGAACACTCGCGAAGCTTGATTTTATTCTTCAATGACACTCTAACCCATATATTTTCCTTTGTTATTTTGACAATTAGGTTCCATTATGAGATTTTATTAAATTTTGCAATTCCACTGAGTTCTTTTTTTGTAGCTGAACGTTATACTATGTGTTTGCCTTAGACACGCATTAAATTATTTTTTTCTATCTATGGACTATGTTGAATTACCTAAAAACACATAGGTTTTGATTAATAAAAAAATAAACATAAATACATAGCATATCAAAGATATATGTATGCCACACAACTATCGCTTCTACTTAAATTTTAATCTTTCACTTTCCTTTTCAAAATTCTTTTCTCAACTAAATTTTTTATCGTATAAAATAACTAACAAAACTTTTGTCAATAAATTGGTTAACTAACTACAAATGCTTACTAAAACGTTATGAATTAAAAAAACAAAAAAAAAATTATTAAACAATCTCGTAACCATCACGTAATCACACCACGTAACTACAGCCGCCCGGCGTTTTGTAGAAGAGATGTTGTGGTCGCATCACCCACCACAAGATAGGCGGTGACACACACGGCCACGCTCCTCACAATCATGCGTCAATTCTTAAAAGGCAAATAATGTCAGAACACAAATGTCAAATGAGCGCACAGCACAATTGCACAGAATTCACCATTCGTAAACGTAAGAAGTTCATCTCACTGTACGTAAGAACTTATGTAAATAAACACAAAAACAAAAAGTGGCTTAAATAAAAGCCATAACTGTTGTAAACGTAAACGCGCAGGCAAACGTAAATCGTAAACGTAACTGTAATGTAGCCGCTGCCCGCTGCTTTGGTAAGTACCCAAGTGCTATATACACCTACTACTTACTGTACAGCGTTTAAGCTGCCAATCGTCGCTTAAGCATCGTCAAAGTGATCGAAGAATGTACTCGTTAAAAAGTTCATACGAATCGTTCATCGTTAAAGCATCGAATAGCTTACTTAGAGCTCTTTTGAAGAGAATAGCAGAATTACAATTTTTTGTTTTTAATTTCAGAGCAGAATTTTAACATATTAAAAAAAAACTAAAAACTAAATCTGATTTCCTGCTAGGAATGGCAACGCTACGAATATGAATTTCTTTATAACCACTATCTTATTAAGTTCTTCTTTTAATTTTTTGCTTAATAGGTACATATTGTACTTGCATTGCGAAATAAGTATATTCTTTCTACTTCGTAATCCACAGATACCACCAAATACACGCGTACGATTGTAGATTAAATCAAAAATACTATGCGGTCAATTTTAATGCCTTTGCCGAGTGAAACCCCCAAAATGTGTCTGAATGTATAAAATATTAAAAAAAAAAAAAAACGCCACATGAAACACTATATCGACCAAAACACCAATCACAACACGTTACTACAACAAAACAACGTTTTCGGGACGCACTCGAATCATGCTTAAAAAGCGCTTAATTCTCATGCCAAGTACTTACCACCACTNGGATTAAAAAAAAAAACAAACTAAATCTGATTTCCTGCTAGGAATGGCAACGCTACGAATATGAATTTCTTTATAACCACTATTTTATTAAGTTCTTCTTTTAATTTTTTGCTTAATAGGTACATATTGTATTTGCATTGCGAAATAAGTATATTTTTTCTACTTCGTAATCCACAGATACCACCAAATACACGCGTACGATTGTAGATTAAATCAAAAATACTATGCGGTCAATTTTAATGCCTTTGCCGAGTGAAACTCCCAAAATGTGTCTGAATGTATAAAATATTAAAAAAAAAAAAAAAAAAANTTAAAAAAAAAAAAAAACGCCACATGAAACACTATATCGACCAAAACACCAATCACAACACGTTACTACAACAAAACAACGTTTTCGGGACGCACTCGAATCATGCTTAAAAAGCGCTTAATTCTCATGCCAAGTACTTACCACCACTCTGGTTGCTCGTGTCTCTCGAATTGGCCGCTTCTTCTCCTTATATTTTCACTCACTTATCGTTTGTTTGTTAATACGTATGTACGTACTACTTATGTAAATAGAAGGTAAAGAACTGTTAAATCACTTTCGAACTTCTGTACGCTTGCTAGCCCACCACCGCTTTTCTAGTGCTAACGCTTTTTGCTGCATAAAAAATAAAAATAAAAACTTTATATATAATTAACTTTTATGAATTCGAACATAAACAAAGAGCATGTANCGTACTATGTAAATAGAAGGTAAAGAACTATTAAATCACTTTCGAACTTCTTTACGCTTGCTAGCCCACCACCGCTTTTCTAGTGCTAACGCTTTTTGCTACATAACAAATAAAAAAAAAACTTTATATATAATTAACTTTTATGAATTCGAACATAAACAAAGAGCATGTAAAAATTGTAAGCATACCAAAAACTACCGTTAACCTCACACCTTTGTACTTTTGATAAATATTTTTGAACTTTTTTCACACTTAGCCGTTGTATTGTAATCTCACCTCTCGGTAAACTTCGTAGCTTTTTGGCGCTTTAACGTAATAGCCTTAATCGTATTTGATATTTCGTAACTGCGTAATGCATTTTTGGCTTACGCAACACTTTCCTATTTATATCTCAATTTATAAACGCTGTCTCTGTCTCTATTTCACTCTATGCCTATCTGTCCATGCTTTACGAAGAACTTTTCTTATTCCATTGATTATTCTTTTATTTATATTTTATTAAAACTTTATACATTCTACTTATAACTTCGATCCACATCAGTAAATCAGTAAAAATTCTACTTATTAGAAGCATATCACAATTATTATCTATTTTGTGTAAAAACCATACATACGGAGGCTAATATAGAATATTCAAAACCAAATATGTAGCTAAATCGAAGAGAAATCACTTGCATCGTATAAGAGTGTAGCGGCAAAAAACAATTTAGAAAATATTTACGTATGTATGTACCTGTGGAAATTGATCGGGCATCGAATTAAATTTCTATTATACCAGGGGCTAGATTCTGTAAGTGTGAGAAAGTGTAGTGTACACCGAGTGCAAAACTCACCGAATAAAATTCTGTATTTTTCGAAAGAGAAGTGTATACAATTTTGACTGTTAAAACTTAAGTATTCTCATACTGGCTGAATCGCAAAATGAAGAATGTACACAATTTCCAGTGTACACTCGAAAACTCCCAGTTACAGAATGTACCTATGTATATGTATTACCAACTAAAATAACAGAAGAATTATTCTCAATAGGGGTCTTCACACCCATTTCGGTCGTTTTGGTAAACTGCTAGTTGGTACTCGGAAATTTTACCAACTGTGCCCGTTCTTTTCAGCTTACTTTTGTTAGTCTAGTAAACTGTATACATATGTTTAACAACAGCTGATTCGTAGCTTTTTTCCTAAAAAAAAAAGAATTTCAAGAGAAAATTTATGAATTTTACTTACTCATATGCATTACGCCTTTCGGGGGCGGGTGGATTTAAAATCGATTTAATATCCAACAGCTGTTTACAAATTACCGAATAGCAGAATAATTATCAAGCTTTCCACCAATAATTAAATAATTTTGCACAAACAAAATATATAGGGAAAATTACGGAACATCGAGTCCCGGAGTATGCCGACTGTTTCACACTAAACTAGCAGAACCAAATGTGTATACGTATAGAAAGTTTGAGTATATTTGTTTGTGCGCTAGACCAGAAATCCTACTTTAATGCGGGGTTGAAGTTGAAACCACTTTTTGAGAAAAACATCCATCTCTCGAGAGCCTCTCTTGCCTACAAACAGAGTTGTTCTGGTGGTCCACAATATTTTATACCGAAAGCGTTCGGGTTTTAAAACGTCATATTTTTCTGAAGATAGGTTTGCTTATATACGGAATTTTTCTTATAACACGGCCTTATAGTTGAGAGAGATGGATCTTGAGTTGAGATGGATGAACTTCTGTTTAGATAGAATTTTTTGGTACAGAGAGCATTGATCTGCTGCACATACGTTTTTTTTTATTCTTCTACCAATCCACCCGGTAGTAATTTTTGGTCAACCCTGTGAATAATTGCTAAAAAGGCGGCCCAATTTCTTATATGCAGGTTTTGACGACTTTAAAGATATTTCTCGGTATTCTATAAAAAAGTCGGTTTTAATGTGAGTGGGTTGAGCAGTTGTTACGTTTCTATTGCCACGGGTCCCCTTCGGGGCCTCTTCATTACTATTAACGATACTTATAAACATTACGCAGATAAATCTCGCTAGAAGTACTAAATATTCAGTTGAAATCGTTGCGTTATTCGTTACCCATCAATTTCTGCAGGACTTTCATTATATCTATACCAGCATATGTATGTAGAATATCAACTCAAGTAGATATCTCACTACTTTTTTCCGCTTTTCTATACCAAGATACTAACATAATTTCTTTTATTTTTCCCAAAATACACAATCCAAACAATCTTTATTGAAATATATGCCCTAAACATAACAGATGGGGTCGAGGTCCTCGCCACGGATCGTTAACCGGTC